CCTTTACAGTTTCCAGTATTTAAAAAAATCACATGAACACTTAAAATAATCCTGCAGGGTAGGTAATAATATTATCTCTATTCTATAGGTCCGAGTATGCTCAGAAAGGCTGACTGACTTGGTCAAGGTCATACTGGCCCTTGATCACTTGGATCAATGCTTTTCTTTTGGTTTTCACCACTAATGTGTGTTCTATTTCTGTTTGCTATGATCTATTTCTGTTCAATATTCTATATATTTTAACATAATCAAAATCATATTTCATATCCAATGTGTTGTTTCCATGTTCAAAAAATATGCTTCCCATTTTGCCATACCTGCTTGGTCAAGCATGGATGTGAAATGTAAGTTCCTTTATAGGATATTTCCTATATTCATATATATATATATATACATATTCCTTCCTGTAGAAGGCTATGATTTTGAGTGTCCAGTGCCAATTCATCACAAGGAGCTATTTTTCCTGAGCCCTAGGTGGAGCAGCCATGTTCAGAGGTGAGAACAGATTTGGAGTTCAACTTCAAATGTGCTATTTCCTTGTGAACTGTCACTTATAAGCTGTAAATCTCTTCCAATTTAGTTCAATGTCTCCCTGTACAACCTGTCTCTTTGGTTGACATTGTTAGGCCTTTAAATGTTTGTCTTCCTTGGAGCTTTGTCCTAAGTCCTAAACCTGTATCTCTAGCCCACTCACTCACAGAGTTCCAGGTCTATAGAAATGGGACACCTACATGTGGATGTCCAATGAGTATTCAAAATTGAACATATCTTGTACCCACCTTTACCTGCAACTCTTCCTGGGTTACTTCCCTATCACAATAAATGATGCCATCATCTATTCAGTTGCCTAAGCCAGAATTCTGGATTTAACTTCCCACTCTCCCTTGCTTCAAATCAATGCCCAAATCCAGTTGCGTGTACTGCTAAACCTCTGTGTATCAAGCCCCTCCTTCAGAAGGCTTTCAGTGATCATGACACTTTAAGGGCTTCTCACTGCCTTCAAAGTCACATTCAGCATGGTGATGTGCCACTGAGGATCAGAGAATTTCCCTTTGCCATGAGATTTTACAAAAAATCCTCCTCAGCCCTATGAGGCATGTGGTTTAGATCTCAACGGCACATAAGAAATCAATCAGTTGGCTCTTCAGAACCTTATATCATGGACAGCTTGTGTCTTATCCAGAATTGGGGAACTTTCACTACCCTGCATCCTACCCCTCTCTAACCCCACAGTTTCACATTTTCTCCATCTGTCACTTATTACACTATTCCTGGTGCCATTTTTTTTTAAAGATGGGAACGCAAATGATCATGTCCCAAGTAGAATTTAGTATAAGTTTACTATAGGGGCCGGGCGCCGTGGCTCACGCCTGTAATCCCAGCACTTTGGGAGGCCGAGGCGGGTGGATCACGAGGTCAAGAGATCGAGACCATCCTGGTCAACATGGTGAAACCCCGTCTCTACTAAAAAT